TCCTGTTTGCTTTTCCTTTAGGGAGTTGAGTTCACTGACTACTCGCGCACTCTCGTACAGTTGGGAATCCAGCCAGACTCACTGCTCTACCTCTGGGTGGACTTGCCGCCTGCTGATTCTGCGGACTTCGAACGTTCCAAGAAGACTGGCGGTGCACCAAGCTCATCGGTGTCCTACTCGAAAACATGTGAGACTTTATCAGTTTATCCTTGCGTCCTTAAAACTACACAAAATGTGTCTACACGTAGGGCGAATGGGAGGGGGGTGTTGAAGCAACTGTAGGTAACATTTTATGTTCATTGTTCAAACCGCCGGGGAATTTGATTCGGCATCCTCAACTCTATGTACCGTTCACTTCTCGGCTTTGACTGATTAAATAGGTTGCGGATCTGCCTGAGTCGAGTATTCGGGATGACGTAGTGCTTTAAAAAATAGGAGATTTCGGAATGGCCACCAGCGGTTTATTAGTTGTGGTTATTCAGCCGGGGGTTTTGATACTCTTGAGATTCAAACCCGATTTTTTGGATCATTTAGCGTTTTTAAGTCTGGTAGTCCACAATTGAGCCACGGGCCTCTTGTCGTGTCGTTTGCTATCAGGAATATTAGCTATCTTGGGAGGGTGGTGTTCACTGATCAGATTAGGGCGCAGGCTCCTGTAGTTGCGCGCTAGGACTCTATGCAGAATCCTCGCTGGCAGTCTTTGCCGCATCCTGTCCCTCTAAATTGAGGTCAGTTTACTTTGACTACTCACGATGTGAAGTTTAGTTTAGCTTACTTCTAACCCTCAACATTGTTTTGTTTGTGTCGGTGTTTACCCTTCACCCTTGGCAAGCCCCATGTGGGCTTCCAGATCTCTGCCCTGCGACCTTTTGTAGCCTCGATTAAATGTTCGCTCGTCCAACAGTGCTTTGCTTGTGATGACTTTTTGTGAGGGTGATTGCCAATAGTTTCTAGACTCAAAGATTGGCATTTCCGTCCACTCATCTGGCAAGCTGGCATGGGATTCCAGGATTGTGCTGGACAGCAGCAAGCTGGGCCCCTGTTAGATGGTTTGCAAAATTATTAATGTCGTAGCATTGCTGCCTCTTGTGAATGCGGTTTGGCCAAGACTGCCAACTGAGGAACTAACTCCGTCCCTCTCAGGACTGGCCTTCGGGCCCTGTGAGATCCGAGCCGCTCTCACTGCAGACGGACACATCTAGAGTTGAGCTCAAACAGTGTCTGTGGCACGCACAGATATGTTGTTTAACTTTGTTATCCACTGCACTCACGCTTATATCCAATCGTGGTAACTTTGATTTGCAATCGAGCAAGGTGGTTGAGGGTGTGACGGATGCAGTGCAAGTCACCTATCCTGCACCCACCTCCTGAGGCACGCGGTGGAGGTTGTCGCTTTAGATCGTCAAATTGTTATGTCGTGTCTTGCGATGTTCGTTACAGGCGACCGATTTGTTGGACTGCCGTCCACTTAGGCCTTGTGCTATTACGTTTGTATACTAATTTACGTTTTACTTGCCATATCCTGGACTGATTACCATCGCTGAATGAAGTCCTACTATCGGTCGCCAGTAGGCGCGCTGTGTAACCCACAGGCTCTGTCTTTCTGAGACTAATTTACTCCTGAGCTCTGAGTGACGCGAAATTTTTGTTTCGTTTGCTAAGCGAGACATATTCACCTTCCTTCCTGTCTATTTCACACAGTTCCTTGAAACCCACAAATCTTACTGACGTTTGTCATGTCAAGTTGTTACTTTATGTCTTTTGGAAGATTTGAATAAATCATTTGATTCAATTGTGAAAAACTTGCCGACCTCGTTACTCAGATGGTTAGGCCTACTTTTCCACAGTTGCGTCAAAGGAATTACAAGATTTACTATGCTTATGTCTTTCTCACGATCTTTGGAATTTTGAGGTAATTTTGTTTAAAGAGGCTGTTAAGAGACTCTTAGACAACCATCTATTATTGTTTAGTTCAAGATATCCCTCCTTTTGGAGGTACATCTTGTACTTTCAGATCCTGAAAGTCTTTGTTTTGTGTCGTTTTCAGCTGAACCGGTAGAAACAGGCTTCAAGGGTACTCGTCTCCTAAACTCCTGGTCCCCGGAGGTTGCTGTCTCCAACGGTTCCTGATTTTCTGCACTTTTTTACTCTTTGATGCTTTCACCCTCTCCCCCCTCCCCCACTTCCTATTTTATGTCGATACTGGTCCATACTCAGACGTTTATGTGTGTACAAAAGACTCGTAGGTTTGTGGGCTCAGTCGGTGTTCGTGCATCGACTAAAACCGCTACTTAGTGCGACCATACCTTTGCCTTTTTTCTGTGTATAGTTGACAACATGCATTTGTCCAGATATGATTCATAAACGCATATATGTATGCAAATACGTTCATAAATAATTGACTTATTTTCTCTTCCCTTGACCGTCAGACTAGATTAAAGATAAAAGAAGTTTAATGTGCATCTGTGGGCATAATCCTTCTACTCCTAGAGTTAAGGCCCCAAGAACTGCGTCGTTAATATGTCAAACTGTCCAAGTTCTCATCCAGCCTACATGACTCGTTCGTGTATAGATAGAGAAGGAGAAGGCGTGTCGATTACCGGAATCATAATTTCTTTCGTCTGAGCTTTAGGGCTCTTACTGGAGTCCATCGTCAGAAATAAAAGCGTCAACGAAAAACAAGCAGCAGTTATAGGGAACAGGGGCCAATCAACCATCAGTGCCGTCAGTCCGGAGATGTTTGCGCAGGGCGATGTATGCCGGTGCCAGATCTATTGATCGATTGGCTGAGTTCTCATCCGAGGCCCAGGCCTCAATCAGATCTCGGCCTGTCTTGTTGCCGGCGTGGGTAATTATCCTCGTAGCTGCGAAGTTTAACTTGTTATGCTTCTAGTAGGTGTGGTCAGCTACTTGTGATAACGCGTCAGTCCGTCTTACGGTTGGCTTATGTTCCTGTATGCGCGAACCCAGTATGCGTCTAGTCTGTCCTGTGTAATTTCTAGGACAGTTTAGGCATGGTATGCGATACACTACACTCGACTGCTCATTGGAATTTAATGGGTCCTTGATTTTCGTCCTTCAGCTGCACATGGTAGCCTTGGGGCGGTGTGCAATTACGACGTCTAGTCCCGCAGCAATGTGCTCGGTCGCTTCCGATACATCCTTGATGTATGGCAATGCATGTCATCTCGTCAGGGCTGGATCCTCGGAGGGCGAGCACGTAGGCATCGGCTTATGAAGGCCTTCGGATAGCCATTCTACAGAAACTGGTCGCGGAGATATCGGTCCTTATGTGCTTTTTCTCCCGGGTTACTGCAGCGAGCCTGCATCCTTTTGAGCAGTGTTCTTACGCAACTTCTTCTCTGAGCCACCGGATGGTTGCTGTGAGAATTGGGAAGCTGTTTGGTGTTCGTCATCTTCCTGTAGATTGCTGTTTCTATTTCGCCTTTGGAAGTCTCTCACGTTGAGGGAGAGGGAAGAGCGAGTGGGGTCGACTATGTACGTACCTTCTTCATCATAGGCGAGCAGACGCAACTTAAAAATAGCTCGCCACCTTAAAAGCCTCGGTGGATCCTCTGCCGGGCATTAAGGATGTTTCCGTGGCAATCGAGCAGGTTGCTGTGGGGCTGGGTGTTGAAATTATACTGACCCACAGTTGCCATGACACT